AAAAAAAAAAAAAAAAAAAAAAAAAAAAAAAAAAAAAAAAAAAAAAAAAAAAAAAAATAAAATAATAATATAATAATAATATAATAATAATAATAATATAATATATTGTTGTTGTTTGTATAATATATTGTTTATATATATATATAATAATATATTATTTAATAATAATTATAATTATTAATATCAATAGTCATTTACCGGCCTGCGCCTCTAACTGGCAACCATGTCGGTAGCCATTTTCGATTCGGAGGCTTAATTTTTTGTAGGAATAAACATTTGATCTCCTATTCGAACTCCTTGCCCCACAAAACTAAATTTTGAACGTATTGCTTATGATAGCTGCGCTAAATTGGTGTTTCAGCCGTAAAACCGGTGGCCATTTTGGGCGCCATATTTGATTTTAGGGTCTCTGGAGGGCCGCAGCGAAAAATGGACCTCATTTTCGGACTCTACGACCCCGAAAACCTAATAATTGATACATCACTATGCACTTGGACCCGTATAGGCAAATTAGTACCTCTGAGTGGTATTTTTGGCCGCCATCTTGGATTTGGAGCCCTCCTTTGGGTCGGGGGTGTTTTTAAATGTGATATTCGGATTCCTCGTGTCATTTTACATAGGAATCAACATCAGACTCGACGCTATCCGCAAAATTTAAAACTTTCACCATGGCGGCGGCCATCTTGGACGCCATCTTGAATTCTGGGCGTCGGTTCAATTTTTGAACTTGACACCATCGAAATTCTGATTCTAGACATCCTAAAGAAGAGAATGACATATCACAACAATTTTACCCACGAAGCTGCACACGGGACCTCTTATTTGTACATGTGGTACTGCCCTAGTAGCATGATTCACTTTCCCCTTCCTAACAAACGTATAAGGAATTAATACCGGTTATATAATCACCATTTTAACTAAAGTTTATATATCGTGTATATAAGTTTTATNTTTTTAGTTAATTCTTTGATTGACAATTTTACCTGTTATCTAAATTGTGTCTAAATCTACAGTGCCTATTTGATACATGCGCTAATCATATTAACATAAGGTTCCCATGTACTAGACAGAGATAGACCGTGCATGAGTATGGTATTCTGAATATAAAGAGGTCATAGAGATTCAAGCCACTACAAACATGAAGGCGTTAGTACAGATAGGAATTTTTACCGTTAATTATTGATGAAACATAATGTTTGATGCGTAAGTTTCGAAAGGATTGTGCTTTAATGTATTGCATTATTTTATCAAAAATAAAACTATTGTGAGAGAATTCACTGTTTCATCGGCCAAGGATGGATGAATATTACAGTAAAAGTAGGTATGATTAAAGTATTTTCGGTTTGCACAACGAATAAATCGTTAATAATAGTTAAAGTTCATTTTTTTCAATCTGCGAGCTAAGTGCCAAAAATGACTTTCAGCTTCACTTAATGATTCTAATTATAGAGGCAAGGTAAAGGTAACCTCTACCTTTTGCTTACCTTTTTTCTCCTCATCCTCATCATCCTCATCATCCTTATCATCCTCATCATCCTTATCATCCTTATCAACGACTTTCTCAGTGCCCTCAGTACCTACAAATGAAAACAACTCGTCAGAATAGTGAATTTTCCATCACAATAGTTTTATTTTCATTCATTCGCTCAGAATGGAGTTGAATTACCCTAATACTTAACGCGGTAGTCAGAAAAGTACATGTTGCATGCTGCAAAAGCAGATTTCTTCGAGTGAAAGAGTCAGTAAAGATATCAAGGAAAATCAGCTGAGGACCTAGTGAGTGAAGGACTGCCCTTGACTGAGTCATGATGAAAATATACAACGAAAAATAGTGTAAATTTCAAGGCATGGTAGTTGAGATTATTGAGGGCAGGTTAATACCCTCATCATTGCAAACAATACTTACACGAAACTTAAAAAAATTTAGAAATGATAATGATTTAGTGGACCATAAAATCCTTTGCCCACCCCAAAAAGATAAAGAAGCTGTGCTCTTTTTTTAAAGCACCACCACCGCAAGCCTATAATTCTGATGCATGCCATTGAAGCTAAAATTATAGTGTGTCATATATTGTTCAATGTTTAAGGTCAGTCAGATGTGTTTTATTCTCAGATGAATATTCAAAGAACCCTAGTAAAAAGCCAGGAGAATTAAAATTATGAATAGGAGGGAGTTTAAGCTAGTTTTAAGCGGTAAATTGGAGAATTCATCGTTCACTACCTCTGCGCATTTCCTTACTTAAAGTAACGAAATGAGATACATCACTCTAGATTAAAAGTATGCTTTTGTTTAATTTGGATTAAGGTTAAATTAGCTTTCTAAGATCGCGGTTTTCAGGTCCGACTCTCTCAATATCACAGAAACAGAGAAAATTAGAGGAATTTGCATCTGTTGGGTTAAAATTCACGTTTGCAGAGAAAAAAACTTAAATGACGGTAAACTGTTTTCGGTTAAGTTTTTTGACTTGTCCGATAACTTTATTACCGCGGGTTAATCGTTTCCTACAACACGCAGGCAAAATGTGGTCACAAAGTAACATGTCTGGTGTTTTAAAAAATGGGTCCAACTCCTTGGTATATTTGAAGCGTTCGGTGCTAAAAACCTACTCTGGTATCAATCAGGGCCGGATTTAAGGGGTGGCCACATGAGCCGCGGCCCATGGCGGGGAATCTAGGGGGCGGCAAATTTTACAAATTTTTTAAATGTAGGTATAAAAAAATCGGATTTAGAAAAAAAAAAATTACAAACGAGAAAAGGTGACAAAATCTTCCATTTCCTGAGAGAATAGTAATTTCTAATTTTGTCGTCTTTCAGTAAAACAAAAGATAGCACCTTTAATTAGTCGAGTTAAGAGAGAAACCTAACATGCAATTTGGCCTGGGACAGCGCGGTTTAGAAAGAAATGATGACGAGGACTTGAGATAAAAAGGAAAAGCCCTCGGCGCGGCGGTCGGCATGTAACACATATTAGCGCCTACAAGACTGCATGAATACTTCGCGCATTGCATCAAACACGGTGCGGTCACTGCGGTCAGCGTGAAACGGATAGCGCCTACAAGCCTGCGTGAATACTTCACGCATTGCGTCAAACACACAGCAGTCTGCGCGGCCGGAGTGACGCCGGAAGTTAAAGTCATTAAACCACATTTATGTTCGTTCTTTCATAATTATTTCGTTCATTTCTGATGAATGGAAGGCCTCGTCCACACAGGGATAGGTTTACGGAACGTAACTTTCGCGCAAAGTTCCGTGAACTTTTGCTAATAATGTTGACAGGGGTTTCCCAAAAAATGTATTCAACACGAGTAAACGCGTCTTATGCACCCCTCCCCCTCCGACACGTTTACCTGATGGTTTTTATTGATGTTTCAAAACGAATGAGAAGGGGCGGCAAAACACAGGCGGCCCATGGGCGGCAAGTAGGTAAATCGGCTCTGGTATCAATTGAAGATCCCTTGAGAAGATTTATACAACTACGAATCAGGAATCGTCAGAATATTTATATATCAGGTCTCGACATAAGGCAAATCACGTGACCTTCAAAATTGGAGGTTCCATTCTTTATGGTCACTGATGAGTCGTACTCGGACTAAATTTTGCAATCGAGAACTACAATATCCGGCTTAGTCTAGAAACAATGTATATAGTTAGTACTCCTATGCACATGATTTCTTCTATGGATGAGGCAGAAATTGTAAGTTATCAGTCGCAAAATTTAGTTCATTTGCCCTCTAATGTTATTTCTCTTGACAAAAAACGATGGAAACCGTCGTTTTAGGTAAATTGATTTGTTATGTGGAAGCTAAAATTATGACTTTCAAGCGCTTTCAGTCATTGCATTGCCTTAAATTCAGCGCTCGTGACTGTCAAATGGGTAATTTCTGTCTGGCTGCATGAAATAGAAAATTCTTCCTGATTTTGGAGAGTCCGAGCAGCTCCATTATTAAAACTCACGTGAGGCACACCTCGAGGCGATGCGAATAACTACCAAAACAGTGAGGGGGCCTCGAAGTAGCCATGTGGAACGCAGACAACAGGATGTTCAGCTCCATCACCTCCTTACACTTACACTCTCTATTGAGAATCAATCAGTAAACTTCGACGAGATAGTTTTCGATTCTATGAACGCACCCACTCCTGGCTTTGGCTGATCCGTCAAAGCGGCCAGTGACATTGCCAAAATCGTTGAAAATCGCGAATGACGGCCCGGGTGTCTTGTGCGAATCGGTGGAGCTCTTTTTGGGTGGATCAGCAATCAGAGCATGAACAAAAACTAATCTTCGGTTGGATCGTATGTCTGATGTTGGGTATGTGTCAAATGACGGCATTCATAGTTGCTTTTATAAAATTCAGTTTCTGAGAGGGAGCATCATATTTTTCCACTCAGAAAAAGAACAACTCAAAAATGTAAAGGCAGAATCATTAAATTATTACTCTCAATAAAAACTGTGATGGTTTCCACTGAAAAATTAAACGATAACGAAAAGGATATCATAGGGGGCTCTGGAAATTTTTTCTGCTTCAATTAAGTCAGTTGAATTTATAAATATCACAATTTTTTATTCACATTTATATATTTTATCTTCCTGAAAAATTCTTGCCAGGGAAATCATTTTATTTTCACGATTTAATGCAAATACACTCTAATAAAAGTAGAAAAATCTATCCGATTTCTAAATAAATGCTGCAAAAAGGATCAAGGCTGGATGAAGTAATTTTACATTAAAAACAGAAACTGAGCTTTTTTAGTGTAACTGCAAAAAATAAATCTAATATGATTTAAGCCAATTTTTTCAAACTGATCAATAAATTGAAGTAAAATTTAGAAGGTGCAATGTGATGTACAATAAAAATCGAGCCAATAGAAAAATTGTATACCCCGGAACTATCAAAACTGATTTCAAACTTACATAATGCGTATTCGCAATTTACAAAATAATATATGCGGCCTGAAGAATGAATCGCGGATGCCAAATATTTTACTCCTTATGATACCATCTACAAATTACCACTCGGAATTGTGCATTCTTATTTTTTAAATTGTTGTACAAAAATGTCGGCTACTTCAGGGGAATATACGGCGAGTCTGACCAGGTCAGATTAGGTCGGGTCAATCAGGTCAAGTAACGTCAGTTTACATCAAGTTAGGCTACGTTAGGTCAGGTTAGGTTAGGTCAAGTTAAGAAAGTCCAGTTACTTCAGTTGAGTTAAGTTAGGTGAAACCTAGATAATTATCCAGGCTCTAGAAGTGTTTACGGATCTGGGGGCTTCATGCGTATTGGTGTAAATGCCTGTGTGCGAAATAATTAAAACCTAGAACAAAAATATCAATTACCTTCTTCAGGCCAAAAGCTTGGGAAGAAACTGGAGAAAGCGCTCACACTGAACTTCCGAACGCTTCCGATCACCCTTGAGTCGAGAAGTTTGACGTTGAGCGACAAAGAACTGAGGAAGTTGTCAACCTTCTGAAAAAGAAACCTGTCTAGTTTCTCAGTTGAGTTGGCGTCCCGAACAAGGGACACGGCCAAATCGGCCGGAATCAGACTGGTATCGTTGCGTTTTGACTTTGAGTACACTATTGAAACTCCCGGCAGAATCTGGTAGCTTTCCGCTGAGCCCAGGTGCTCTACAAGCTTCACTACATCCAACTTCAGGCACGTCATTGAGTATTGATGGCTGCATTTTTTGCTTATGACCTGAAACATGTTACAATTACCCATTTCTTTACTTCATCCACCAATAAATTCGAAAAACAAGAAGAAAGGAAAGGATATCCTCACTTCTTTACATATACACCAAAGACATTTCATAAGCATGAGTAGATGCTCTACAAATCATGCTCAACATATCGCGATATACATATCAACAGATCACCGACATATCACCGAAGCGGTCAGTGCCTGGACTGTCAAAACGCCTTCAATTCCGTGCATATACAACACGGACATCCGTGGAGCTCGAATAGTTGCATCTAGGGGTTAAAATGAAATTTGTACAGTGTTCGTCGCATTCGGCACTAACTGAGAGCGCATTTCACGCCGGGACTGAATTCCAGCGTTGCCTATGGTACCTATGGAGTAAAATATTACTGATCTTTATCACAACATTGTCAATTTTTTGAATAATGATTTAATTGTTAAGATGTATTACATGTTTGCCTTTCTACAGTGTGAGTTGCGACCCCTACCTTCTCTTATTTGGGGACGACGAATGCGGCAAAGCTGCCTCATGGTTACTTCAGGGAAAATTTGATCTCGCATCTCAACATATTTGTACTTTTTATTCGCTAAGAGTTAGAAAAAAGTCCAGTTAGAAATGATAAAATAGAAAATAGGACTTCAGCAATACTTAATCCAAAATTTTTTTTTAAAAAAAATTGAGGAATTTCACGGGATCGAATCCAATCACATTTCGCAAATTTTCAGACGCATCACTATACTCGGAAAAACATTTCGTGAGGATCGGCCTGGAAGATATGCTAAATTTTTTTTTTAAACATTGAGATATTCGCGAGTGATTTGGAACAGGAGATCCGTAAAAATTGATTGTAAGTTCATTATAGCTAATTTCTTTAGATTTATACAACGGATTGTATGCAGACAAGAGCTCAGGCTTTCCATTTTTTCCTCTAAAAATATAGGCAAGAAATTTTGTAAGGGAGCATGTCCCCTTGTCCAGAAAAAAATTGACATTGGATATTCCCGCATGAGGAGATCAGGTGTTGTCAATTACCTGATGATCTGGAGGAGTATACGGGGCAATGGCGATTGGGTGTCGTAGAGCGCGAAACTTCGCTGTAAAAGTGGCTTTTATATTATTCATTCTAAGCAACAATTTACTACTGCACTTACGCGGATTCAACAATGATTTGCCTCGTCCTTTTTTCCCCAATGACAGCCATTAGGTTGAAAAATTTGAATGAAGGAATACGTTTTTTTTTTTCATATTTTTGACTAGAGATTTAAATTTACCTATCCTTTGTTTTTGAATTGTTAATTGTCTGTATCTCAATGGTGGATGGTTCATCTGTGACGATTACACTTGCGAGTTTACGCTACTAAAAACTTAGGTAGTTATGTATGATTCGCGTCAGTCAAAATTTGCCTTTTCTGCAGAATGTTTCCGTCCTTTAAGACAGATTTGCGCTTCCAAACAAACGCAACCCTTATTCATGAAGTTATCTGGAAAATTCTGCTTTGTAAAATTAGGTAAATATAATTTATCATGAAAAAATATTTTTCCTACTTATGTTAATGTATAAACTGTTTATGTTTATCCATGTGTGTCATTTCGGTTAAAGTGGATTTAAACACATCCGACACTAAACCTACGAATCCCTCACTTTTTACATGCCAAAGGTCTCATCACGCCTTCCATTTTGATGATACTTCAAGCACATTTATGAATGAGCACTTGAAAAGAGCCGCGGAATTTAAGAGCCATGTTCTGTTGTCATATCTTGATGTTTCACATTTCCACGTATTTTAGACGCAAGTATCTTGGTTTGATAGTGGTGTGAAATTGAGAAAAACTTACCCCCCAAGAAAAGAAAAAAATGCCCAAATTTCAGAGATAGTTGTTTCGTTTTGAATGAAAGAAGTCGTCCTTAATGGACCACTAGACAAGGTACGAATTTAAGCGATCTGATACATGTTTCTTAACCAGAATTTCACGTAGAAAACGATTCACACAACGAAAATTACGGAAACCAACTCCTAACGAAGATATTAACGTTTTTATTTCACATTGGTTACGAGGAATTTGAACTGCCCGCT